TAATGCCTCGGTTCTATTACTTAATATAACAACATTTCGATTAAACCCTGATTTCCTCGAACGATGCTGCTTAGGATGGTGACCCTCAAGTAGCTATCTGTCCTGATTTCCAACCTCGAATAATTACTCGCTAAAGTACTCTCTACTTAGGGGGCGTAATAATGGTCCCTCAAGTTCATGTATGAATATTTATATAATGCTTGAACTTCTAGAATGCTCTGAGTGGGTGGTTGCCGCTTTGAGAAAGTTGATGTTGCAGAGAAGTCGTCCGACAAGGGGACGAGGCTCTAGGAGATGGCAGCTTCGAGGAAGCTAGTGGCAGAGGTGTCATCCAACAAGGAGATGAGGCTCTGAGGGATATTAGCTTTGAGAAAGCTAGAATGGTTGAGGCATCGTCTTACAAAGGGATGAGGCTCTGAGGGATAGCAGCTTTGATGAAGCTAAAGTTGTAGGGATGTCCCACAAAAAGACAAGGCTTTGGGAGATAGCAGCTTTGAAAAAGTAGGAATGGTAGAGGCATCGTCCCACAAGGGAATGAGGCTCTGAGGGATAGCAGCTTTGAGAAAACTGGAATGGCAAAGGAGCCATCCCACAAGGGGATGAGGCTCTAAGGGATAGCAATTTTGAGAAAACTGAAGTTACAGAGCCGTTGTCCCACAAAAAGACAAGGTCTAGGAGATAGCAACTTTGAGAAAGCTGGATTGGCAAAGGCGTCGTCCCACAAGGATATGAGGCTCTGAGGGATAACAGCTTTGAGAAAGTTGGAATGGCAGGGGCGTCGTCCCACAAGAGGATGAAGCTCTAGGAGATAGCAGATTTAACAAAGTTGAGGTTGTAGAGACGTCCTCCCATAAGAAGACGAGGCTCTGGGAGATAGCAGCTTTGAAAAGGCTGGATTGTGAGAAGCGTCAACCCACAAGGGGATAAAGCTCTGAGAGATAACAGCTTTGAGAAAACTGGAATGGTAGAGGCATTGTCCCATAGGGGGATGAGGCTCTGAAGGATAGCAGCTTTGAGAAAGCTGAGGTTGCGGGGACGTAGTCCCACAAGGAGACAAGGCTTCAGGAGATTGTAGCTTTGAGAAAACTAAAATGGTAGATGTGCTGTCCCACAAGAGGATAAGGCTCTGAGGGATAGTATCTTTGAGAAAGTTGAGGTTGGAGGGGTGCCGTCCCACAAGGAGATGATACTCTAGGAGATTGCAACTTTGAGAAAGCTGAAGTGGCAAAGGCACTGTCCCACAAGGAGACGAAGCTTTGGATGTACGAAATAGGCAATCATTTGAAAGCTGTTAGTGGTTCCCAAGAGAAACAGTTGGATTGATGCCTACTCCCAAGAAAAGGCTGCTACTACTAATCATAGCGAATGGCAGCTAAGGCCAGAGGAGATGCACTTTAGAATATTGTGAGTGTCATCGCCAAATCATGTGCGTTTATTGAATTTGACGTTTGTTTTCTACGGTTTGGATCCATAATGTGATTAGCGGCCCTGATGGATCTTAGTTGTAACCAAGGACGACGATTATGAAAGATCGCCTATAAAAAGCATTTCCTCCACATTTCAAATTTTTCACTTTTGCAATTCTTACATTCTCATTCACTCTAATCTCTGGCAATATACAAGGGTGTTTTAAGTTTTTGGATGATTCTATTCAGACTTTCTCTACAATTTTTCTGCGATCTTCCATTAGTCGTTCGTTTACTAAAGTATCAATTCATCCTTCCTATGAAAAATGGCTTCTAACTTATTGAGGGTGTCGGGTAGTGACCTAGATGAGGTTAGGCTAGAAGAACCCATTGTTCTAAGTTCATTCGAAGTGTCTACAGCCATAATGGGTAGGAAGAATATTTGGAAATGACTTAATAATCCTGTAGACACTTCAATTCACTGAGAGGCTTCCGATTATCAATCAAAAATGACTAGTGCTAACCTGATAAGACTGCGGCTGAATATAGGATCTCAAATAGTGTGGTTTGATAGTTCCGAACCCTGATGAGCGAACCTGCTACCTAGGCCAAGCGCGTGTGAGGCTAGTGTCAGGGAGGGATTAAGGTTGCCTATTTATCCATTCTTCCGCTTCGTCCTTAGATCTTACGGCCTAGCCCCAACCCAGTTAAACCCTAACTCCTATAGCGAATTGTTGGGGTCGTGGATGTTGTAGATAGAGGCCTCACACGGGATAGAGATGCCCTTCTCTGTTTTCTAGAACATTTACATTCCCAAAGTTACCGCGAGGATGATAGGACAAGGGGGTGGTACTATCTCACATCGTAGGGGGCCCACACTCCATTTGTCCTTGATCTGCCAAGCTCCATTAAAGATTGGAAGAGCTCATGGTGCTGGGTCTCTAGAAGATGGGACACAATGAAGGGGAACCCCCTAGCGCCTCTGAAAGTCCCTACAAAGTTCTTTACTTTTATTGAGTCTCTCTACTTTATTTCGAACTACAAACATGCATCTTCGTCATCTAACAACTTGTTTATGCAAGTGCTTTGCTTTGATGTGAGCTATCTACAGAGGACTTCGACACCATCTACATTATCTACCAACTCCCTCAAAAGAGTTGATCTTATCACGAGCTAATATGGAAGAATATACACTTCGTGAACAACGAAATCATGTCTATACAAGGCAAATTTATCGAAGTAGTTGCCTCGGTGTTCATTGGAACTCTTAACTAATCTTTGCTTTTATTGCAAATAACTTTACGAAGAAAAAGCCCCTGAGGTCGAACTTCACTACAATCCAGAGGCTTATGGCTAAGGCCGAGCGCTCAAGACATCGTTTGCTGCCTATAAAAAGTAGGCGAACGAACTGGTAAGCACCAGCAAACAGCTCCATCCGAGCGAGGAGAAAAAGGAAGAAAATGATGTCCCCTTGCTAAATAAGGGAAAATGAGTGGTTGGGTCATTCTTAAAGGCCCCGACTACTGCAAGGCCTACGACTCGCCAAAACACCATTCTCATCAAGGTTTTAATAAGGGAAAAGGTGGCCCCAGCACTGACAAAGGAAATTGTGGTTCCGGTGTCGAAGTAAACTAAAAAAAAAAGGCCTCACTCGGATAAAGAGGTTGAATTACTGGGGGGATGAACCCTGAGAAGCTAGAGGCCCTGTCCCCTGAAACAATAGCAGTTGTCGTGGTCCACAGCAAGTAGAGGGATCACACTACTTCCTACACCATTGAAGACCTGTTGGCAGCCAACAATGCTTGCATCGCCAAGGCTCTGAGCACCAACTTCCAGCTCGAGGGCCTAGTTAAGGATATGAGGGCCAAGAACATCGACCTGGCCAAAAAGTTGGAGACGGCCCTACATTATGGGGATACCATAAGTGCCGAGAGGGCCAAAGTTGAAGAGGCTAAAAAAAGAGGACCAAGGCCGAGAATAAGTTGGAGAAGGCCAAGGTCGTGGCATAGTAACTACAAAAAGAGCTCTACGAGACGAAGTGCCAGGTGGCTGCTCTGACGAGGCTAGACCTAAGAAATTGAGTCATTGAAGACAAATGTGAAAGTGGTCGAAAAGTCTGTAGCTTAGAAATTTATAGATCATTTTGAGGAGCACGAACTCTATGACACCTTTGCCAACTACTAGGCCTCATGGAATGCCCAGATAATGCTACAACGTCTGAAGACGGTCCATGTGGCCCTAGATATATCATCCTTGGAAGAGGAGTTCTGTGGACCTACAGGAGGTCACCTAGACATCGACACGGACAATGAAGCTCCAAGTGAGGCTACTGTGGGGAAGGGGCCATTGTGCCCGTAATAGACCCTTAGGACTATTGTAATGGCTTTGGCCCTCCTCGTGTACATCTTTTGTTAATGAAATTAATGATTTTACCAAGTGTTTTTGCCTCTTTTATTTGTGTTCGAACTAATTAATGTTAATCGTATTTCTTGTGATACATTTAATGTATGAACACAAATCGAGTAGCAGAGGTGCATGAACTGAATTTCAATTGCTTAACTGGACTTTGTTATGGATCTAAGGATGTAAAAACACTTAGCCATAAATAGTAATAAGTTCCATTGATGGAAAAGTAGGTACATAATACATTGAAACACATACTTTTAATGGTACTTCCTCAAGTGTTCGATGTTCCATTGATGAGGCACAAGTTTTCCTGTCATGTCCTCGATCTGATAGGTGTCAGGTCGTGACCCCTTGATTATACGATATGATCCATCCCAATTCAGGCCTAAAACTCCGATGCATGCTAGTTTCGATGCTAGGAAGATCCTCTGAAGCACAAGATTGCCTAAGCATAGGGCTCAGTTCTTGACCTTGGCATTGTAATAACGGACCATCTTCTTTTGATACATTGCTAATTTTGCTTGAGAGGGGTCCCTCCTCTCTTCCAGGATGTGCAGTTCACACGTTTGCATTTCATCATTGGCAACCTCATTGGAAAAATTTATTTCCTTATTCACGTAATTTTTATGAAAATATATTATTTCTTTATTCCACATTATTTCCATCTTTATACTATTTATATACTTATAAATAGTGATCTTCTCTTTCAATTTTGTTGAAACAAAAATTGTTAAGTTCTTGTATTTCTCTTCATATTATCAATTAATAAAACATCTTGCCTTTGCAATTATCTCTCTTTGTTAATTTTTTCACTTTTAAATCTTATTTCTCGTTACGATCTTCATTACTTCATATCGCATCATTAATTCATTCATTACAATCCCTCCGGATCCAAGAAATATATAGTTAAAAATAAGTACATAGAGAAAAAGTTAGTTGTCAAACAAGGACTTAATTTTATGTTTCCACGTTTTATTTATCTACATACAAACACTAGCATTATAACAAGTCTAGGGCAAAACGCTCCATCCCTCACATTCTTCCTACCTTCTTGGCATAGAGGCAGTCCCCTAAACCTTGCTCTCAAATCAGCTTCAGTAATAGTAGTGCAAGAAACCAATAAATAGGAAACCATTCGTTGCAAGCCATTTTGCCAAACGAAGAGTTCAAATAAACCAAACTTTTAAGAAGAAAAAGAAATTAAGTCGGCCTTTTCCCTGGAATATACAAGTATATTTCACAAATAACATGATCAATGAAAATTCATACATCTTTAACGACCCCCAATAATCAATTTCATTCTTGCTGATCAAAGTTCGTAGAAACACCTGTGAGGACAGGATCAAACCTACTAGGTTGAGCAATTACCATACACTACAAGATTCGAAAAACTGATCCCCGTTTCAATTCAACTGGGAGGAACACTAAATAGCTTATTGTCCCTGGTTTTCTTTACCATTCGTTGTTCTTGTCTGTTGATGAGGACTTACAGGTGCTGTTGAAGTGCTTGTTGTGTCCTTATCAACGACAGACTCAATTGGCTGATCCAAATTCCTTTCTTTCAAAGGATTGTTATTTACAGAAGCAAAGCGCATTGCTCTTGGTAACTTCAAAGGAATATCAGCCTCAACATTGCTTTCTGATTTTACAGGGCCTTGAGCTTCCAATGTGGGGGGGATAGCAGGAACAAGTTGAATAACTGATTTGCGCCAATTTTTTCTCTTTTTGGGCTTTGGTGCGTTTGATTTTGTCTGCAAGTTAACAAGTTGATATAAGACGGCTAATTCTGGATAAAATAACTTACAGAAATTGCAATTTACAGAGAGATACAAATCTTATTCAACTGCAGCATTGAATTTAAAGGTAGAAAGACGTCAAATTTCAAAACTATGTAGTGGAGATAGTTTCAACAGGTCAATCTGCAATTTAACTGAACAAATCCATAAAGATTTTGAAAAAAGGTAGAGCAATAGTGAACTAGACTAACCAGGTCATTCCCGATGTCTGATAAAGGCTTCCTTCCGGTCCCTCCATCACTTGTGATGACAGGCTTCTCAGATAGAGCACTTTGAAGTAACTTTGCTCCTTCAGCAGCAAGAACATGGCTTTTCTCATTTTCAGTTGCCATTGATAAATTTTCGAAAGCTTCAACAAATTCTGGTTGCACTGAGACTTTCCTAGAAGCTTCCTCTGTATTGCTGCATTTTGTGGGCTCACAGCTACAGGACGATCCACAACTACCCTCTGCAGCTCGACATTCACATCTCATTGTCTTGCATGAAGAATATTTACTGCATGAGCAGCAGACTCCATCTTTCGAAGTCATTAAATCTTGTCCTTTTACATTCGATTCTAGTTCAAGATGATTATCAATTTTAAACTGCTTTTTCCTATCTTGGCGCATTTTTTTTTCTTTAGTACGTACCCACTCAGCATCATCGTCGCTACGGATATCAGAATCCTCTGGCTGAAGATCATCATCCGATGTATCCATATCTTCTAACAACTCGCAATTATACCTTCCACCATTGAAAACAATGGAGTTCCGAGATCCCTGGACAAACCATCAATTACGTACTATTGGTTATACCTAAAATTAGCACGCAAAAAAAAATGCATAAAGGGGCCACTCGATTGATGTTATAAAGGCAATACCTTCGGCCGCAAGTCATAAGCATGACCTTCACTGTTATTGAGCATGTGAGTTTCAAAACTTTTAGTCATTTCCCTCGATTGTCTCTTTGAAGCCAACTTCTAACAGAACATTCAAAGAAAATTTGAAGAATATATCAACTTCAGAAATAAAAAAAAATCAATAATCCTGAGTATTGGGAAATAGTGGATGATCATGAGAGAAACAAAACAAGTTAACCAGCATAAGATAGAACAAACTAACTGGGTACACAAACCAAAAAAATATGTATTAATTCATTTTCCTGGTAAAGTAATATCTTCTTCATATGTCTTGACAGGCTCGTGTAGAAGAAAAGTGGACTAACCATTAACTTCTCTTGACGACTGAGTTCAGCCTTTTGCATTTCCAACTGTCTAACCAAATTGACTATTTTTTCTTTCAAATCTCTTATTTCACAATCCTTCTCTCTGCAGTTGACTTCTCTATCCCTTAGCTGGCATCTTTTAGAAATTAAAAGGCGGGTGGCATTGTCAGTTACCAAAAACATGAAGAGTGCAAGTGCACTTTTGGAAAGCTTTCAACTCCTGAAGAAATAACTACCTGGAGGAGGATGTCAAGTTGAAAAGGAAGTTCATGATATTTTTAGCTTCAGCAAGGGAACGAACATGGTTCCACCTTCCTCTGCCATTAAATGCCCGTTCACGTTCCTCTGCTTCTGATAATTGGGATGACATAGAAATAAGGGTACTTGATGCAGTAGCTACCATGTTTTCAAGAGCAACAATTCTTGAATTTCTAGCACAAGGAGACATTGTCTGTGGGCCTTGACTGCAATGGACACCATCAAATAAGCGTTTTAGCCAGTTGATGCCATACAAGTAAGACAAGACACTGAAAAAAGGAAAAAAAAAATGAACCTCAATGAAATATTTCAGCTATATAAATTCAGACCTCAAGTACTGCTTTTGACGTTGTGCTTCGTCCTTCAGTTCTGCAAGCTCTTTAGCCATTTTTGTCCTCCTATAGTTGCAAAATTATTGTTATCAAATTGAAATGTAAATAATTCTTGCAACAGGTCAAACAATAACTACACCATTTAGGAAAGAAATTGAGATCAATAAAAAAAACAACAAATTATTTTGATCAGAAATCTTGATACCCTATATCATCACTCGTTATAAGTTACCAAATAAATGAGATGATGAATAAAAGTTAATTTTTAAGAATGAGAATAGAAAGTTAATATAGCGACAGCTTCCAAAAGCATCACTATCATTTAGCATTCAACATGCCAAATGGGGAAGGAATGTGTGAGAAAGAGTGCAGGGAGTCAGGCGCCATGGCGCCCAAAGTGTGAAAAATGGTCCAGTGATGCAGGCACCATGGCGCCCATGGTTCTGATCCATCTTGGCGCCATGGCGCCCGACTCAACTATTTATATATCTGGTTTTTCCCCTTCATTTCAAGACACGATTTTGAGAGAGAAAAATAGAGAGGGCTTGGATAGAGTTTTACAAGTAAGAGTTTGTTCTTTTTGGGTATAAATTCAAAGCCATTTTTCTTTCTTTGGGATTAACTTGAGGCTTGTTCAAGTAATCCAATACATTGTTCTTCCAATATATATTGAAAATCATTTCTTCCTCATTTTCTTGTTCTTCAAGTGGTTTGGAAATTTTTCACATTGTCAAGCTTAATTTCTTGGGCAATCTTTGGGAGGTCATTTTCCCAACAATTTGGTATCAGAGCTTCTTCCTAAATCAAGGTGGTTAAACTTCGATTTTGTGGTGAGTTGCTTGAACTTTGTTGTGCACAGGTGTTTGTGAAAATTCCCAAGTGAACTTTTGTGGTTTATTTTCGATAAACAAGTGAATAAATCATGTCTACTAGAGGAATGGTGAAAATTGGGAAGTATGAGATAAAGAAATTCAATGGGAAGAATGATTTTTCATATTGGAGAATGCAAATGAAAAATTTGTTGATTTCTCAAAAGTTGCACAAGGCATTGGCGGGAAAGGAGAAGAAGCTCGTTGATATGTCGGACGAGAATTGGGAAGAGCTAGATCTTGAGGCACGAGCGCCTATCATTCTTTGCCTTGAAAGAGATGTTGCTTTCTTGGTTGATAGTGAGGTAACGGCGGCTCTAACAAATCGGATCTATTTGAAGTCCAAATTGTATACTTGCAAGATAGATGAAGGTACACCAATCCGGGAGTACGTCAACAAGTTTGATAGGATCATATCGGACTTGAAGGACATTGATGTGGATGTAGATGATGAGGATCAAGCACTTCTACTACTTCTTTCATTGCCAAAGTCTTACGAGAACCTAGTACAAACATTGATGCTTGTGGGTGATAAACTTGTGATGGAGGACACTAGAACGTCACTTCTAGCGGATGATCTTCGAAAGATTGCAACTAGTGGCATGTCTACCATTGGTAACAAGGAGCAAGCTCAAGGATTATTTGTAAGGGGAAGAAGTAATGTGCGACCAAAGGGTAAGGGAGAAAAATCTAGATCGAGTTCTAGACCTCTTGCGGAAAGGACTTGTTTCAAATGTGGCGAGCTTGGGCATTTCAAGGCGAATTGTCCAAACAAAAAGGGTTGGAAGAAGAACAATAAGAACAACAACAACGGGAAAGTGCAAGTCAAGCAAGAGGTAAGCTATGCCTCGGAAGGAGGGGAAAGCGATGAGTGATACACCATCTCTTGTGATGAAGAGACCTCCGATAAGTGGATTCTTGATTCTGGATACTTTTACCATATGTGTCCAAATAGGAAGTGGTTTACTACCTATAGAAGCACTGATGGTGGAACCGTGTTGATGGGTAATAACCATTCATGTAAAACGGTGGGGCTTGGTTCAATGAGAATCAAGATGCATGATGGAGTGGTCAGAACATTGATGGATGTTAGACATGTTCCTGATTTGCGAAAGAATCTCATCTCTGTTGGTGCCTTAGACTCCGATGGTTGCAAGATTGTAACATGGAATGGAGTAAAGAAGGTTGTTCGTGGTTCTTTGATTGTGATGACGGATATTCGTGAAGGCAATCTCTATGCTCTTCAGGGTACTAAAGTTACTGAAGATGTAGCAGTTGGAACAAGTGGAAGTGGTGGAGACCCATGTGAGTGCACTCGGCTATGGCATGGGAGGCTTGGGCATATGTCTGAAAAGGGGCTAGATTTGCTAGTCAAGAAAGGCTTGCTAAAGAACTTGAAGAAGCCTTGCATGGATTTTTGCGAGCATTGCGTGTACGGTAAAGCACACCGAGTTCAGTTCCAGCAAAACAAACATAGAAGCAGAGGCATTCTTGATTATGTGCACACGGATGTATGGGGTCCGGCTTCTGTCACTTCCAAAGGCGGTTCCATATAGGGTATTGATAGGAGAACATGCAGATTATGAGAAACTCAGAATATTCGGATGCACAGCCTACTATCACGTCAACGAGGGAAAGCTTGATGCGAGGGCCAAGAAGGCTATATTCTTGGGGTATGCGGTAGGTGTTAAAGGCTATCGCCTTTGGTGTTTAGAGGATTCTAAGTTCATAATCAGCAGAGATGTTACTTTTGATGAGAACTCCATGATAGCTTCGTTGAAAGCTATAGTGCCCGGTTGTGATGATGTTGAGACTATAATGTCTCAAGTTGTTGACATAGAACCTAGAGATCAACCTGATTCTAGTCATGTTCAAGAGGAGCATCAAACAAACACTCAAGATGAGAGTGATGATGGGCTTGAACAAGAGGCTGTTCAGCAAGAGAATATACAAGCACAGCAACAACAACAGCTTGCAGACAACTTGGCTTCTTCTAGGCCACGCCGTACTTACAAGCAAGTTCTAAAGTTGGGGTCAGATGAGCCTTTGAGGCACTATGGGCAAACAAATTTGGTTGAGTATGCACTCTCGGTGGAGGATGATGAGCCTACCACTTTCAAGGAAGCTATTTTAAACAACAATAGCGAGAGTTGGTTGGCGGCAATGGAAGAAGAGATGGAATCACTTCACAAGAACCAAACATGGGAGGTTGTCCCATTGCCTATAGGTAAGAAAGCTATTGGTTGCAAATGGTTGTATAAAAAGAAGGAGGATCCTACCAAGGTCGGTGGTACAAGATTCAAAGCAAGGTTAGTGGCTAAGGGGTTTGCACAAAGAGAGGGAGTTGACTACAATGAGATTTTTTCTCCTGTGGTCAAGCACACTTCCATTCGGGTGCTATTGAGTATTGTTGCTCATCATGATCTTGAGCTGGAACAACTCGATGTCAAAACCGCCTTCTTGCACGGGGACTTGGATGAGGAGATCTATATGCATCAACCTGAGGGCTACAAGGTTGAGGATAAGGAACGTCATGTATGTCGCTTGAGAAAATCACTATATAAATTGAAGCAATCTCCTCGGCAGTGGTACAAGCGATTTGACTCCTTCATGCTAAAGCATGGTTTCTCCAGAAGTGAGTATGACTGTTGTGTTTATATTCGGAAACTTCGGGGAGGTAACTATATCTATCTTCTTCTATATGTGGATGACATGCTTATCGCTTCGAAAAACAAGGTGGAGATAGATAAGTTGAAATCCCAACTTGGTAAAGAGTTTGAGATGAAGGATATGGGGGCTGCTAGAAAAATACTGGGTATGGAGATCAGAAGAGAGAGGACGAACCGGCGAATGATCTTGAGTCAGAAAGGCTACATTGAGCGGATTATTGCTAGGTTCGGGTTACAAGGTGCAAAGTCGGTGGTGACTCCATTGGCTCCACATTTTAGGCTCTCTGGTAAACAGTCTCCTACTACAGCGGAAGAAAGGGTACGCATGGATCGTGTGCCTTATGCTAGTGCAGTTGGCAGTTTGATGTATGCCATGGTGTGTACACGCCCAGATATTTCACAGGCGGTGAGTGTGGTCAGTAGATTCATGGCGAATCCGGGGAAGGCACACTGGGAAGCTGTGAAGTGGATCCTGAGGTACTTAAAAGGTACCGCGGATACGGGTCTATGTTTTGGTGGAGATGCATGTCATATAAGTGGGTTTGTGGACTCGGATTAGGCAGGTGATCTAGATAGACGACCATCTACTACTGGATATGTGTTTTGCATACATGGTGCCCCAGTTAGTTGGCGATCGATGTTACAGGCTACAGTTGCTCTTTCTACTACAGAGGCCGAGTATATGGCCATGGCAGAGGGAGTGAAGGAAGCATTGTGATTGTGGGGTCTTCTAGATGATTTAGGGATTGAGCAGGATTGTGTGGACTTGTGGTGTGATAGCCAGAGTGCGATTCACTTGGCTAAGAATCAGGTTCATCATGCTCGAACCAAGCATATCGACATAAGGTATCATTTTGTGCGTGATGTCATAGAGGAAGGTGATATTTCACTCTCGAAGGTACACACAAATGAGAACCCAACTGACATGTTAACCAAAGTGGTAACGGGTAGCAAGTTTCAACATTGCTTGGACTTGCTTCACATTAGTCCATGTTGATATGCCCGAGAGGGCATGGCCCTTCGGGGCGGGGTTCAAATGAGGTGGAGAGTTTATGAAGGTGGAGGTGAACTACGGAGGCTTGATCCCGAGATTTGGGTACGTAGACAACCATGGTTTGAATGGTGCAGCCGAGTTTGGCGCTTGTTGCTTCTTCTTGTGTTCGTCCAAAATTTGAGATCGATCAAATGATGTACGAGGTGGAAAATTGTGAGAAAGAGTGCAGGGAGTCAGGCGTCATGGCGCCATGATTGGGCGCCATGGCGCCCAAAGTGTGAAAAATGGTCCAGTGATGCAGGCGCCATGGCGCCCATGGTTCTGATCCATCTTGGCGCCATGGCGCCAGACTCAGCTATTTATATATTTGGTTTTTCCCCTTCATTTCAAGACACGATTTTGAGAGAGAAAAATAGAGAGGGCTTGGATAGAGTTTTACAAGTAAGAGTTTGTTCTTCTTGGGTATAAATTCAAAGCCATTTTTCTTTCTTTGGGATTAACTTGAGGCTTGTTCAAGTAATCCAATACATTGTTCTTCCAATATATATTGAAAATCATTTCTTCCCCATTTTCTTGTTCTTCAAGTGGTTTGGAAATTTATCACATTGTCAAGCTTAATTTCTTGAGCAATCTTTGGGAGGTCATTTTCCCAACAGAATGAATGTCATAATGGCAAATCCTCCGAGAAGAATGACACAGCAGAGGAAGAAATTTGTTCTCCTGGTAGGAATCCTGAGAGTTATGATGACTGCATCATCTAACCATGAAAGTACATAGACCGCCAAGTACCCATTAGTACTACAAATTCAGAAGAAAAATAAAAATAAACATGACGAGTTCTACGAGTGAACTGAAAAAGATGCACGAATTGTCAATTATTCATGTGGACTCGTATCGCTTCCTCTCTTTATACCCCTTTCTTGGATAACACTCATGAACTTGACAAGGAGTGTCAACTTTGAAAATCCCGAACCAGCCAATTTACTTGGCCGACAAGACACTTCATTGCAGCTTCCAATTCAAGTCCTCTATAATCCAAATTATTAACCTAAAATTTCTAGAGGTCGTACAAAAACACTTTGGATCAGTGCCAACATGGATCGAGAGTTCAAGAAAAAATGCCAGCGAGCCAAGTGTAAAAACTGTACTAGGTGTTGGAAGGGAAAAAAAAAAAGACTAAAGCGGACCAACCGTATTGCACCACATACCCCCCATAAATAACCTGTATGTCCTCCCCCCTATACACCAAGCAAAATCCAATATTCTTTTGGGAAGGGCATAGATATGATTGTCTAAATAATAAGTAATGAATACGTTAAAAAGAATGTGCATAATTTAAAAGCAAAAGATGGCATAGAACAGACTTCGTTTAAATTTACCAAAAAAAAAAAAAAAAAAAAATCTAATCAAATTCATCTTTCCTTAGGTTCTTGATATCTGAAAGAACCTGCTTTAGTATTTAAGCCATCGCATCAGCTCTCATGTCAGTAATATTTTGTTAAATGAAGTCCAACTTGGTGCTCTTATTTCTATTTCAAGTCTGATTTGTAAATGTCTTACATGATTATTAGTGATAGAGGATATATAAATAAATGGGGAAAAAGAAGTTGAACGATTATGCGTAGCTGTCAATAATTAGTGTGTTATGTTCAAATCTTCGGAAGAGAAGAAGACTACAGGTAAAATAGGTGAGACCAAAACATGACTAGTCAATGAAAAACAAGACTTAGGGAGACAGACATCACGAAAGACCAAATTCAAGTGGTTTAAAATGTTAATAGGTGCCAAAAAAATTTCAATGTTTAGGTCTCGTTGTATCCAATATCATAGTGGTGCTAGTAGACACAAAGAAAAAGATAATGAGCCAATATAGAAATCATAAGCCTGATATAACTCGACCAAATAAAATATGAATATAATCTTATTGTGCAGTCTAGGATAATTTTATAGCCAAACTAACGAGTGAAAGGAGACAGATGTTATCTCCACTATCAGATTAGATGAAACTGCTGCTAAAAATAATGACAAATTGAAGATACGACTAAGTACATACTTGTCAGTAGATATCTATTTCTTCTATCAAAATTTTGTTTAGATAAATAAAATTTGAAAGGGAAAAATTATTTTATTTTAATGCAAAATCAATAAGATAACCTGGCATGTCAAACTTTTTTTTAGCATAAATTATCAACAACATAAATTTATATAAATCCATGAGGGGAGTCAACGTGGAAATTTATTTAACTGCTGGTATATCAATGCAATTTAAAATTGGGCAAGGACTCTTATCTTTATGACAAAATGGAAATGAGGTTTTGATACTCTATCCAAGAATTGATAAAAAATGAAAGGTAAATAAATTAAATTTTAAAACAGATATAATAGTAAAACTGCTTTAAAAATATGTGCGGAGGATAATCTGAATCACAAAATTTCATCCACAACACAAAGCAAAATTTGGCAGTGTGCTGCTCTCAGTGCACAAAGCAATGCGAAAAGTTAAATGATTATAAACGTACTCCTCTTTTTGATGTTCATATTCTGATCGCACTTCATGTACCCGTACTGTAACCTCAAGTTCATCCTCAATTGCCTGCAATAATGCCTTCAAATAAACAAAAAATGTGTAAATTAAGAAATGAGTGGATAACAAATCGAGCTAAACATTAATAAAACCTCATGTATCAATTCCACTCGTCAATCGTGTCAATAAAAATAGAGGTTAACACCCATTTTTTGGAGTGTCCTACTTTCACACATTTCACAAGATATTTCTTATATGCTAAAACTATATCATACTCCCAGTAAGTCTTTCCAGTAGAGATAGATACCTGAATTCCTGGACCATTTTTATTTCCACCACCTGCATAGGTGCGAAAGAAATGAGTTATGAAAACTTGTATTATAGACATCCATCAAAGCACAAAGGTCTCATATCCAACCAAATATTTCACGTGAAGCTTTCCGAGATTCTAGCAACTCTTTGAGTCGTTTGGTAGCCATAGAGGCTTCTTCGGTCTTTCTTTGTAAGACCTAAAATGCCAATATATAAAAAGTGAAATACATGATTATAGAGTTAGAGAAGTGAAAAATTTTTATTAGACATCTAACTTACCATCTTTTGCCTCTGATTTAATGCCAAAAGCTTATGCATTTCATACTCGTTCCTTCTTCCTTCTTTTTTTAGCTACAAAGAAGAATGCATCCGAGAATTGCTTAGTACCTTCAAACATTATGTTGCACAAAGGCAATTGATATAACATATTTTGACACTATCGACTGCTCGTTCACTCTTTTGTGCGCAGGGTTATATTATAATCAACAATCTATGAATAACTTAAATAACTAAACACATGGCTTAAATTTCTGCAACCAATCATAAAACACCTCAACTGATTAATCTAGTTATTAGAAACTTACACATTGAAGAAGTTCAGCATTTGAGGGTGAACTGATTCATAACATCGTTTTAAAAAGTTATAAGAGGCTTACACCTTGAGGCACGCCTCACATGAGGGTCCATGAAACAACTCAAAGCTTACAACTTGAGTACCATTTGTCTAGGCTTACACCTCAAGGACAATCCATTAGGCTAAATTTTATAGCCGATAATGTTTTACTAGTTTCCTTTTTCTATTTTTCTGCTTTTACATGGAAGAGAAAGACAAAGGAAAGGTACCATTGCAATATGCAATACCTGAAGAACTTCCTTTTCTCGAGATGCTTTCCATAACCTAAACTGTTCGGATTCTTGCTTTATCTTTTGTTGTAATTGAACCTTGAAACAGAAAAGACAATCAGCAAAAAAGAGACTATTTCTTTCATTAACAAATTTGAAGTACCATAGAATAAAACCTTTTGTGTCTTTATTCTATGAATCTCCTCTTGTAATCTTTTCGCATTCTCGTCACTTTTTTGTTTTTGTCTCAATAACTGAGCTTGAGCATCCTGTTTCTTCTTCAGCACGGCTACCTGCAGAGAAATGAAGTCATTAACCAGAATATTCTTGGTCAGAAGGAAGTTTGCATGAAGATTTACCTGGGTTTCTAGGACATTAAGCTTTTGAAGATACTCTTCCTTCAGCTTTTGTGCGCTATCGTCAGAGTTGGACGAAATATTTGCAAGATTGTGCCTAAGTTCTTCAATCTCTTTCTAAAATAAATACCAGTATTAGGAGAAAAAATGCTGGAATTGAAACAACTTAAATCGAAGTATCAAAGAAAGAAATTAAAATTCACCTGCAAGCCCCTCTTTTCGAGTTCCAAATCTTGAACTTTTTTCTCATAATGCAGCTTCAGGACTGAAGTGTCGGCGCTTGCAAACCTCTTCATTTCAGCCTTTCATAAGTAAGAGGACGAATGATTGAATGAGGGAGTGATGGTTGAGAAACTGAATTTAGTCAATTTTAGAATACTTTCATTAATTATATTATGAGAGTTCACAAATTCCAAATTCTCTTACCAGCTTTTGTTTATATGTTAGTGCATATGTGAGAACAAAGTTATTGACTCTCAAAACCATATATTTTTGGTATAAGGTTTCTTCCATGTCTTCATTTTTCATTTATCAAAATGGGTTAATGAAAATCGAATCCAAATATTTAATTAAGGTCAGAAAAGATCAAATCTTATGAACATGGCGAAGAAAAGACGCAAAGAAAAAGCAATGACGTAATTTTGCAGTATAAGTCCCGTGAGCCTGATCATTTTTTCTGTTAACTTCTTTCCAGAATACAAGTTCCATGAGAACCCAAACCCACTATTGTTTAACCTCTTGTTATAACTAGATCTCAATAACACTGTCTATATGTGTGTGTGTGTATTCAAAAGTCTACCTCCTTCTGTTCAAGTCTTTTGTCCAATTCTTGTAGTTCTTTATCCAATTTTTCTTGAAGAGAAGAATGCTCTAGCTCTTTCTCCACGTCTTCAGCCTCCACTACACATGGTCAAAAGTCAAAATAGTGAAGTTATCGCACAAAGGACTTCATAGTGTACAAAACAGAAGTTATGAATATAACTACCTGAGAAAAATCTATAGCATAAAATTATATAGTGTTTTTTAAAGGACATATAGAGCCAGTATTTAACCTAAAGAGCTTAAGCCTGAGCAACCCAGCATATAATTTAAATCTACAAGTTCTGGCAGTAGCCTACCATTTGTTTCAACATTTTTTATATCAGAATCCATGATATAGGAGTTTCCAGAGTGAAGTCCATCATCTTCCAAGCCAACATAATCGGAAGCATAATCCTTGCATCTTGACCTGTCCAAATTTTGCAAACGCTGCACTTCTCCCTCTAGATCTTGAATTTTAGAGACATAAGTTTTCACCAAATTAAAATCCTGAAGGAAAAGAAAATAAATCCTCAATCTCAATAGTTCACCGAAATAATGCAATTAGATCAGAATGAAGATGGGTCCAGGCAATCACAGAATCAAACCTTCTCCGAATTTGAGTCAATCTCATTCCAATTTTTCCCATTTTGAGAAGATTCAATTTTGAAAAGCAATCCATCCCTTTCCACCTATTATTACAGAAATTTAAACTTGATTAACCCAAGACACTCAACAGTTGTATATTAATCCATAATTTTTTTTTTATGTTGAAGAAGTAAAATAGTTTGCCACTTAAATGAGACCAACCTGTGCATCAAAAGTACGCTGCTTTAGTTGCTCATTATTGATCCTACATTCTTGAAGTTCCTTTCTTAGCTCATCATTGCTTGCCTCAAGCAGAGAAATTTTGTGCTTAAGCATCTACATACAACGAATTTGGTGTAAATATCTTTAAATAACATATAATGCGTAGAAGGCTGTCAACAAATATTAAGTACTTGGTTCCAGTAATCAAGAGTGCTAAGAAGGATCAAAGGAAATCACCAACTGAATTCTTCACACAAATAAAGTGGACACCCCAATCAAAACCTTAATGCTAATTATTTGTAATAAGAAAATCTCACCTTGTGGTATCTTCAGGAGAAATTGAGCTCAGATTTAGTGAACTACTTGAACTTCTTTGATTCGTGTAAATGAACATAGATTTAGTGGCAGCCAATATACCTGAAGTTCTTCAACTGGTGAAGTGGAATCTCCACGAAAGCAAAGCAACTCTGCCTGCAACTGTTCGATTTGACTTCGCATCCTTTGCACCTGAGTTGCCATTGGATCACGATTGACCTACAAAGTGAAAGAAATGAAACACGATAATGTAACAAGTTAGTAATTTTTTTAGAAATGATTAATTACAAAGTTGTGTTGCACATTAAAACTTACAATTGCTTTGTTTTGAATGTTACGAGCACGATTTGCATATTTTAATGTGTTTAGTGTTTCTTCTGCATTCACATCAGCAGGGCTAACACAAGCTGCAAACACGAAAGAAAGTATAAAACACGAAGATAAGATCAATTTTTGAAAAATAAAAATATGAGATGTCAACCATCATAACATTTCAAACAGATTATGATTGTCTGTAATGATTTCGCGTCATGTCTCGGCTAATGCAATGAGAATAGTTAAAGAGCGTACCAATCATAACCGTTTTACTATTTCCTCCGAGTGAATCCTGAAGAACATGAAGTTATGAACCACAACTTAGTATAATAAACACAATTGCTTACTTAAATAAGGTGAAAATACATGGAATTAAAATATTCATCATCACATAAGAGGAAATAAAAGATAATAATCTTATGAACACAGTTTATTCTTAAAAACTTATAAATGCTCTCTATGATAATCAATGTAATGTCAAAACTAAAATATTTTAAAAGCATCTAGTAAAAAATTTGAGCCACCACTTGTCTTATTTATTAATAATCAGTGCAATTCTTTTTTGGAACTTGTTTAGTATAACAGAATCATCATCCTTCTTCATGACTTTCTTTTCCTCTGATAGAAAGGCCAATGACTTGCTAGTTTCTTGAAATAGGGTAAATAGGACATAATGCCAAAAGCATCAATATATTATGCACATATATCCCTTCCAAATGTTCAATTAACCTCCTAGGATCATTACAGCTCTACTTGTAAAATGTAATAGTACAAACTAACATACAAGGCATGATTCTTGAGTAGGATAATCCCAGGACAATAATTTTTCATATGCATTGTGATCGATTCTTCTTCCATGTACACTTTTTATTTGTTGAAGGAAGGGTAGGGAAGGAGGGATTGAGGGAGTTTAGTTATTGCCTGCAATAGACGTGTTAACTTGCTGTCTCGATAAGGAACATGACCTCCTTCTTTTCTCTTCTTGTCATCACCCAAGGCACTAATGACGTTACCAAGAGCAAGCAATCCCTTGTTAATGTGAATGCCTAGACCACGTGAAACCAGAAAATAGAAATTTGATTCAAACTTTTCAACATCAAAAAATAACCAAAAGATTAAGAAATATGAAACAACATAGAAAAAATAATGAACATATATAGCATTACCTTCACGCAAGCGTGTTCCATCTGCACCTGTTCGTTTTGCACGCTCGGATCCCGCAAGGTCAACCAAATGTAGTTTAGCAGTCAAAATATCATCTCCAACATCATCTCCAACTGACGAACTGGTTGTTCTCTTTTGCTCCATAGAAATTGTGAAGATGGCATGTGAACGACTTTTTAACAAATACAGTGTAGCAAAAAGCTTAGTAAGAAGGTTACTATATAATTTTATTGGAAACAAAACCCTGTAGAACTTTCTGCATTTCTAATTCAACAAATAGAAAAAATGCACTGACACTATATGTATATAAACATAATCACCAGCAGATTCTTAATTATGAAAGCAATGTTTCGATAAAGAACACCAAAACTAAAACTGAAAAAGTCATAATCTTTCATCAAGTTTCCTAATAATAAATGAGTCATTAGACATGACCGCTATAGTTTTCTATGGGAACAGAAGGAACGGAAAGGGGAATTGGCTTGATTTTTTTTTTTCATTTCAACAAGACATATACACCTGATGAAGTTCACGAATTTTGGCAAAATATGGAACCTAAATAGCCACACATTTAGCACTCCAAGATTGAATACTTCCACTTAAATTATCATTGTGGTGTCGAATAAGTCTACCTTGACTGACTATTCATATTTGTGCTCGCAGTGGCACGAGATACCGAACCCTGCAATAGGTATGATGCCATCTCATCTTTTGTCTTGACTTCTGCCTCTTTTACTCCAGCAAGTGTAATCCCTCCACTCACTGTTTCTCGAATTTGAATAGGGACTCTTGCAAGACCAGTAGACTTCGGTTGCAGATCACTTCTGGACATAGATGGTATGTTTGGATCTAGCAAATCATACACCTCTTCCTTAAAAATCTGCAAAATTATGACACAAAGGAAAATAATAATAATAAATGAATAGGAAAAGCAACCAAAACGAAGACTGTACTTTATTCTAACTTCATAACTGATACCTCAATAAAAGACACTCTTATCAAAAACTCTGCAGATTCTTTCATAGCCTCCACTTTTGAAAAAATGGTATCCATTACTTTAGGAATGACTCCATTTTGATGCTCTTCTCCACCATAATTTGTACCCATTGTGTAAGTTTTTCCTGAACCGGTCTGAGACACATAACCAAGTATAATATATGAGTTTACATTTAACTTAAACTTCCAAGTGTAACTCATAGATAGAAATAATACTAGAAGTGATAAGGCACATTTGCATCCCAAAACACACTTTCTTGAATATTTCCAGCAATAAAACTGTAAAATGATACTGCATGTGACCTGGCCATAGGCGAGCACTGTGCCGTTGTAGCCATGGAAGAGAGCATCAACAAGTGGGGCAACACATTCATCAAATATACGCGAACACGGATACCCCCCATTCCCAAAAATGTAATCAAACGTGAAGGAGTGCGATCCAATCTGCACCTGTTCATGCATCCAGAAGTACCAATGGAATCATCAACAATGGATTCAGCATGTCATCAAAGTTAAAAACCATCCCCTCACTGTAGAACTTAATGCAGGAAATGACAAGAAAAAAAATAGTTGAAAGGCTACCTGACTTTCAGCTGGGAACACGGATATGCAGTCAGTACATCCAACAAGAAGCTCGGACGTAACCAGTGGTCTAATATTCACAGCAACTCTTACACATTGCAACGAGTCCTTGTTATCAGAGTTATTCATTTCCATTCTCAATCAATCAGTGCCAAGACCGCAAATTAAATCCCTAGCTTCAGTATATATTAAAAAAAAAATAAGATAACCGAAATTAAGGATTATCATTCCCTCTTTCACGAAAAAATAAAATTGAACAATCAGATGCAAAAGTTACGGTTTCATAAAACACATTTCAACACATACATAGATCTGCCAACAAAAAAAAAAAAGAAAGAAAGAAAAAACAGAATCCGTTATATAGACGCGCATAACGGCTTAATGAATGTACAAAATGCATAATATTTCAAAAAGCAAGAAAAATGTTTACCTTAATTGGAAGCTGGTAGAATTTGTTTTGAGATGATACTGGAAAGAGAGATTTTGAATGTAGCGATTGAATGAGGATGTAAACATTCAGGGCGCCTCGTGGATTTGAATATGGAACCCAGGGAGAGAGATGATAGAAAAGGGCAGAAAAATGCAATTATTAAATTGAAGGGTAGAAAAGGCGCACAGGTTTGAATTCAAATAAATTGAAGGAGTTGGCACGTGCGAGATCACTCCTTTTGTTTGTTATATATTTTTAGCGACTGATATATAATTCATTACCCTATTTGATCCACGTTATTTGAAAAAAATACATTCTTAAATAATGATTTAATATCATTTGAATGACACATTTTTCAACAAAATAATATTATACATAAATTCATAACTTTTTCTTATTTTTAATCGCACATTTTCCGTCATTACACAATAAAAAAATGCATTTTTATAAAAATGCGGCTCAAGCAAGAGCTAAGAGGATATTTGAGCCTCATAAAAAAAATATTTTAAAATAGTAGATTGATAAAAAATGCATTATTAAAAAGTAAGAAAAAAATTTTGATTTTCGTTTAATAGTGTTTTAATGAATAATTAATGATTGAAAAGAAGAGAGAGATAAAAATATGTTTTGGAAAAAAAGGGAATCAAACAAACCCTAAAACCTTTTTGATAATCATTTTTTGGGTAGAATGAATTTTTAAATAATAAATTTTTAATGAATGTATGGTTAAAAATAGAAAAAAAAATTACGTGAAAAATATATATATTAATTTAAGAATATATGGTTGAAAATAAGTATGAAAAAAAAGTTTTAAAAGAATAGTTGTCAAATAGGGGTTAAACATGGTTAGTATTGTCCGTGTTTGAGCTTCAATTTTCACATTTCATTTTTTTAAAATTTATTTTTAATTACGCCATTGTCTAGCTCATTTTGATTTTAATGCATTTTTCTTTTTTGTCAACTACACATCTTTTAATAGAATAATATTACACAAACCCCCAAAAAAAAATTCTTATTTCTTTATCACTCATTTTTCAAAAAATCACTGTTTCAAAATACATTTTTCCTAAAAACTAATTTTAATGGAGTTCAAACAAAGCTAAGATTTTTCTCTACTTTTTAACTATATATTTTCCAAAAAATTATGGTTTACTTGATACCCGTCTTTCTATGGAAATGTATTTTGAAATTGTATTTTGATGAAGAATGTGCGAAGGCTGTAAATGGATCAGATATGGATTAGATCTGTCAAAATTCGATCCTATTCATTAAAAATAATTATTGGATCCGATCCGATAATCCAGTGGATATTTGATTGTTAAATTCATATGGGATTTACTATGTTATTGGATATTCGATCCGAAATTGAAAAAATTAGAAGGGAAAAATTCATATACAGGAGATTAAGTATGACGTAATTTCCAAATCAAAAAACGAAGCTTACAACTTCAAAAATCATATTTTAATTAAATTGTATTTATGAAATAATTAATTAAAAATATATTTTCTTAATTAAACATAATAAAGTCACAACTATGTACTATTTGGTCACAAATTATTGAATTAATTAGTCACAAATAATTTGTCGATCAGAATTTAAAAAAAAATTGTAGGCCACAATTTATCAAATTAATAAGTCGCATATTATTCCTCGATCACAAACTACAAATTTTATAGGTACCAATTTATTTATCGATCTCGAATTATCAAATTAACATGTCACGTATTATTCCTCGATCACAAACTACAAATTTTATAGGTGTCAATTTATTTATCAATGTCAAATTATCAAATTAACATGTCACATATTAGTTTTCGGTAACAAATCACCAATCTTACAAGTTACAACTTATTTCTTGATCACAAATTATCAAATTAACTAGCTACATTTCTTGATAACAAATTATTAAATTAATTGAACACAATTTAAAAATTTTGTGAGTCACGATTGCAGATTTAATTAGAGTCTCAGATTTTTTTACTTCACACATTACTTATTGATCACAAATTATATATTTCATTGATTACAATCAACCAAGTAAATTGTGCCAAACACTTTTCTTTCTCCCCTGCGCACCCCACAACCGCCACTATAAGGGCCTGTTTGATAGGCTTTTTTCCATGGAACTTGGAAATGAAATTCCATTTTCCACGTTTTTGAGTGTTTGATGTACTAAATTTTTCAAGTAATTGGTTTTCTAGCTTTGCCCTCACATGACCGGCTTTTCCTTGGTTGGAGGAATTCACTTTCTCGTGGGGTTGGTGGAAATTAATTTTCCATGAAACTTTTTTTTTTCAATTTTTTTTTTTTTTTTTTACAATAGAAACAAATTTTAAGAATAATTGTAAAAGAAGATATCCCTTAAATTAACAATTTTTATGTAAAATAAAGTCAAACAAACACCAAATATAAATGATTTTTGGATCTCTTTTTTTTCGACAATAGAAACAAATTCTAGGAACAATTGTAGAAGTGGACATCCCTTAAATTGACAATTTTCATGAAAAATAAAGTCAAACAAATATCAAAACACACTTTTATTTCAACATTTTTCAAGTGAAAAATTATACTAATTAAACACTATTAATTGACAATTCTCAGTGAAACAATTTCTAGGCAATTCAATTCTTTAAAATTCATTTTCTTTCTATTCAAATTTCATCTTTGCAATCAAACAGACCCTAATACTTTAATCAGATAATCACTTTGAATTTCGCCTTAGTAGCTAGATTGGCATCTTACACGAATTGACCTTAAATACCGTCTTCTTCCTTGGAATATTCATGCTTCTCACCTTCCATTTTTAACGAGATCTTCATCGCTATCACTTTAGAGAAGTGACTCGCCACCATGTCAATCATAGTAAATTCGCCTCCTCCCAACTATAGTTTTACAACATTAACAATATAATGCTGACCACCGCTGCCACCACAAGTTGCAAACACAAACCAACAAAATCCAACCAAAAAACAACCAACACCACTGACATCACCATCACCTCTGAGTGCCGCAAACACCACCACCACCACCACAACTGCACACAACCAACAAAACTCAACCCAAATATTTCAACACCAGATCGTGACCAAATTTCCCCCACATCGCAACTAACAAAATTAACACAACCAACAAAACTCCGGCACCAGACTGTGACCAAATTTTCCACAAATTCCCGTTATTCACCGTTGTAGCGCCTCACTACAGCGGTGATCTCGCAAATGTGTACAGCGACTGCTATGCAGGGCCGCTCGCAGCATGATTAGTGGGGACTCGTCATCATAGTAGGGACATCTGCAGTGGCCTTCAAAAAAAAATTTATGACAGTCGAGATAAAGAGATGGAAGAGAGAAAGTAAGATGTTAGAGAGAGAGAGGGGGGATAAGGTAGGGGATAGAGAGAGGAAAGAGAATAGGAAAATGATTAGGAGCCTGTTTGGGCCCATTTTTTCACCAAAAAAATTGATTTTTTGACCGTTATTTCACTATTCCAGCCGTCATATTTGACTACTTCTCTTACAAGTGAACCCCATTTTTCTCGTAACGATCATAAAATCAATTCTCTAAATCACTCCCAAACAGGTTCTAGGGTTTTTTGTTAGGTGAATGGATTGGGAGGTTGTTCATATATATTAATTTTATTTTATAATATAAATATTAATATTAAAATTTTGAATTAATATTGATTTTTGTATAAACAAATTTTGGATCTAAATTTTGAAATTGTATTTTACAAAATCTGGTTGGGCGTAATTCCCACAAATTAGAAAGATAAAAATTTTATGTTAAAAAACTTTTAAGCTCAAGAATTAAAAGATCCAGATAGTTTTTACCTAATTCTTGGTCTAGCTTTTTATAGATTTAAATTTTATGATATTCTAGTGAACATCCGATGTGGGAAGTGAGAAGTTGGGAAGAATAAAATCAACTCCAATATTTGGTTCCTTTGGTTGTTTAATTGATAAAATAATTTAATTATATTTTTTTCTTGTTTTAATTAATAAAAAAATAAATATCTTCAAATATTTCGAAAAACAATATTATAATATTATTTATTATAAAAATATTGTATAAGGTATCATACAAATTTCAAAATGGAAAAAATTATGTGTAATAAATTATGCAATAATATATGAAAATATATTATATTATTATAATAAATCGGATTGAATTGACCTATATCTATATTTGCTTCATTTAGTTAACGAATCATCGAATTTGAATTTTAATCGGATTATCGGATTGAGACTCTAAATTTATCTTTCATTAATTTTATCGAATACGGATCGGATTCAGATCAAAATCAAATCCACTGACTGTCCTAAATGTGAATTAAAAAATAAGAAATTTTTTTGAATTTGTATATAATATTATTTTATTGAAAATGTGGTATTAAAATAAAAGAAAAAAGTGTTTTATAAAAATAATGGTTATCAAACAAGGACAAAATCTATTTTAAAAATGAAGCTCAAACAGGGACGTTATTTTTCACATAGGGAAATGGATGCAATCATTCCAAGCTTCTTAGCCCCTGTTTGATCCCCATTAAATTACATTCTATTTTTTTTTCTTATTTTTAACCATACAATCTTCCATAAAATAATATTACACGTAAATCGAAACACTATTCCCCCCATTTTCATTACCAAAAATGGGGGCCAAACAGGGGCTTAATGTCCTGGATTCTTTGTCCCTTACCTATTCCACCCCTACCAACAGAACCTTTCGTCGCCATAATTTCAAAATATCAGAAAACCTGATTTCGTCTGTAAGTCTCCTCCATTGCATATCCAATTTTGCAGCAACCTCTTTTAGCCCTCATTAATTTTGATTATAATTAGGAATGTCAAACGGGTCAAACAGCTCGTCAGTTCGGTCGCTCAACTTGTTAAAGTTCGGCTCGGGCTTGTCAAATGACAAGCACGAGCCGAGCAGGGGTGGTAACCAACGAGCCGAGCTTCGCGAGCGGCCTACAAGCTCATGTGCTTAAGGGTCGAGCCTTGCCATCTTTAATTATAATGAGGGAATAGTATTTTTTTGAAAAATGTATGGTTATAAAAAAAATGAAATAAAAAGTTTTTGATTTACATATAATATTATTTTATTTGATTAAAAATAGGAGAGAGAAAATTTTGTTTTAGGGTTTGTTCGATAGTGAT